ATTAAATTATTATAATTCCTAATTCTATAGTCAAGCCTGCCTCACGAACACCCTTTCTAGACGGGATAGCGGATACGTTTTTCATAGATGTGATAGTGACACCCTGTGGTAAAAAATAGAATTGCTATCTGTAAATGATATTGGATCTATCAGGGGCAGAATTAATTAATGATGATTAACTACCCACCTTATTATCAACAAAACAAAGACTCGGTTCTAGAAACAAAAGAGATAGAATAAATATCTTACAACAGAAGCTCACAACTGAAACGATGTAATGACCATTTTATTAATAGATTCAAGATCACAATTGTTCACAATATCAACATACATTTGTTGGCATGCTACCTGATGATGCATTTTAAAACGTTTTTTTTTTTATATATACAAAGTCTTATTATTTCACCTGTCCAACTTTGGATTGAGATATTAATTGATCATGTACATTGGTTTTATACTGATCCACCAAAAACACAGGGCAACTTCAGAATGAGGCAAAACCAAAATAGAAAAAAAAAAAGATTCTTAGTAATTACAGAGATAGAATGTTGGAACCACCAGCTTGCTGTATTCACATCACAGTTTAATTAAACCAGTAACAATTCCAGTGACCTCGGTGGTCTCCCCCACTCCATTCTACCCCCAGGCCCTCACTGAAGCTTAGTATTCCTACAGTCATTACCACCCAAGGGGCATCTGTCATATTACCAATTCTCCATTTAAGCAATACACAAAAGTAGCAAAGCTTAAAAAAGTGGCATTTCATTTGATTGTTTGTTCCAAGCCATAGCAATGACAGCCCGAATCGAGCTTGAACACCTACCACTGAGAATGACTGGGGAGATGCTGAAAGGCGTTATCATGGAGAAGTGGATGGTTGGATGGAACTATAGAGCTGTTACAGGAGGTCATTTATAGTGATGTTCAAGGGAAACACTTAGTTCTCATCTCCTTCTCTTCCTCTCTCTCTCTCTCTCACCTCTCTCCCTCTCTCTCTCTCACCTCTCTCTCTCTCTCTCTCTCTCTCTCTCTCTCTCTCTCTCTCTCTCTTCTCTCTCCTCTCTCTCTCTCTCTCTCTCTCCTCTCTCTCTCTCTCTCTCACCTCTCTCCTCCTCTCCTCTCTCTCTCTCTCTCTCTCTCCTCTCTCCTCTCCTCCTCTCTCTCTCTCTCTCTCTCTCTCTCTCTCTCTCTCTCTGGGCACAGAAATCAATTCATTGTCTATTCCACGTTGATTTCAATGAAATGACGTGGAAACAATGTTGATTCAACCAGTGTGTGCCAAGTGGGCTCTCTCGCTCTCTCTGTCTACCAATCCCATATAGTGAGAAGCAAACAGCAGCAACAGAATACAGGAAGTAGAATAGTCTTCTCTCATCGTCAGAAAGCAGTGCTAAAAAAAGTGAAACTCTAGTTTGTGTAGTGATGTGCGTCAGTCAGGTGGGAGAGAGTTGGAACTGAATGTACTGGGGTGTGGCGGTGGAGAGAGAGAGAGAGAGATAACTGAATGTACTGGAGAATGGACAAGAATGGTAAAATAGAGCTGGATCTCAAGCAGAAGGTGACTGTGTAAAAATATTTTAACACCAAAACTGGGGTTTTAAACTGGGGTTTTAAACCAGAAAAATGGCTGGGTGTCAGACTACTGTTATACAAACACACATGACTAGTTAAGACTTTTAAAATTAAATTAAATATTACAACAACAAAACAACATTATGACTAACTAACTAACTAAAAGGACAGAAGGCACAGGGGAGGGAGTGGCAGAGATCACCAAGTACAGGACTCAACTGAATACAGAGGATCTAAAAGCATCACAAATACACATCCACAGAGAGCAACTTGCACAAGGTCATTTAGAGCGATAGTCATTTGAAGCAGGATGTGGGTTTAATGTACTCCATGTAGCAGTAAAAAGCAGACGCGGTGTGTGTGTGTGTGTGTGTCAGTTGGAGAAACTCACAGTCGTTTATGAGTGGGCTCAAGTTTCTTTCAAAGACCTCATATTGGAAATACTGATGGCATCTCTCAAATTATTTCCAGGAAATTTAGACTGGGAAAGACAGCCATCGAACGAGGAGCTATGATGCATCAAGACAATTTCTTAGGAATATTATCAACGTGTGTAAATGAAGATTGGGACTGTTTCAATTACGCATGGCATGCATGGGTCGGAACATATGGTTGAGGCAGGTGTTTGTGCTAATCTAGAACCATTCATTTTAGAAGAATTAAGGTCTTGAAAGGTAAACATTTTTATTCATGGCACGACGCCACATTAAGGAATGTGTTCAAAGAGACGAAACAGAGAGAAACAGAGAGAAAAAGAGAGTGAGAAAGAAAGAAAATAAGAAAGAGTGGAAAAGTAAGAATGTAGTGTGCTAGTGTTTGGGTGTGTTCCTCCCCAGTTTCCAAGGTGACGTGTACTCTCTCCTCCTCCTGGTCTCCCTGGAAGGAAACAAGAAAAAAGATTCCTACAATCACAGAGAGACTCAACATGATTGTGTGTCTGTGTGTGTTTGTACGTGTGTGTCCACGCATGTGTGTCTACATTCCCTGAGTACACCACAACCATCTCTCTCTCTTCGCTCTCGTCGTATCATGTAAAATAACATCTCACCACCACCCCTAATCAGTGACAACGAGGGGAAGAAGCCCTGAGGCTTCTGAAGTGACGAAACAGCCAACCAGTGTCTGGTGGATAGGAGCCAGTAATGCCAACAGTTTCTGCAAGCTTCGAATTGACAATGATGCTCTGGTGAAGCTCGGCCATGCTAACCGCTAGCAGGCTAAACGCTATGATGCTAAACACTACGAGGCTAAGCCAGTGTGTCATAGAGGGGAGAAGTGGGGGATGCTAACTCTTTAAGGCATAATCACGCTACACAGCCCTGCCAACACGGTATAAATCAGAGTGTTTAATTGCGAGGCAAACAGCTTTATTTATAATCCACAGCAGCACAGTCGGGGACAGCCAATTAGAGGGGCCTGCTGGGAAGGTGTGAGCTAGCGATAACCACCTTTCATAGTGAGATCACGTTTGTGTGTGTGTGTTTGATTGCGACTTGCAGGGGGCTGTAGAGGTTCCAGCCATGGAGGTCTGTGACACACACCCTTATTATACTGGAGGCATTGCACTTAGTCAAAGAGACAGATAGCACTACACAAGTGTGTGTGTGTGTGTGTGTGTGTGTGTGTGTGTGTGTGTGTGTGTGTGTGTGTGTGTGTGTGTGTGTGTATGTACATGTGTGTGCATGTGCGTGTGTAGCACTCTGGTACCCTGCAAACCATGACCCATTTTGTATTCTACATGAGTCAAATGTAGTGGAGTCCATTGCCCATGTTGTGAATGGCTGCTGTTCATACAAGGATTTGTACCTTGCTTGACATGACCGCCTTGTTGACCTGATAGCCAGCAAGGTGAGACAAGTATTCACCAACAGCACACATGCATAAACATTATTGTGTAAGGGGAAGCTGGTTCGATATTGATGATGATGGGTTTTCCTGTGTGCCAGATATTGTTGTTGTGGGGGGAGGCCAAGGGGAGGTGCTCATTTTGGAAGTGGGCTGCTCATTTGACGGCGACATGGAGCAGGCTTTTGCTGATAAGCTGCTTAAATACCAGCCCCTCGTGGCACGCTTGGACAGCCTCGGGTGTAGGTGAAAGCTGGTGGCGCTGATATTTGGCAGTCTCGGCCACGTACACAGGCTTGCAGTGCGTGGCCTCCAGATTGCGGGCCTGACAAAAACTAGGGCAAAGCAATTGTCTAGGTACTGCTCTGTTTCAGCTGTCGTGGGCAGCCTAGCTGTTTGGAGAAGGAGGTGCTTTCTGTACCCTGGAGTGCCTTGCATACAGGGACCTTTGAAATGTTAGGATTTTTTTTACATTTGATTAGTGGATTCAAATAAAGTATTTCATGTGTGTGTGTCAGACTCACCTGCACCTCACTGCTACACCATCTCATATTGGTTGGCAGTGATAAGCCGCGACAGACAGCAGGCCAACAGCATACCAATTGACTGGAGAGAGAGAGAGAGAGAGAGAGAGAGAGAGATAGAGAGAGAGCGAGAGAGATCGTAGAGAGAGAGAGAGAGTGAGATGAGAGAGTAGATGATGATATCTCTCTGCTAAGATATATTAGAGGATAGCTCTGAATTGTAGATGGCGAGGGGATTGGCTCGATTTTTCTCTCTCTCGCTCTTCTATTCTTTCGCTCTGCGCTCGCTCGGTTGCGCCTGCTTTGTAGTGGCGAGATTGTGTTCTCGCTCATCACGTTGGGATTCCTCTCTCTCGCCGCTCTCTCTGAGCGCGATACAACCGATAGGATATTTATCACAATGAGTCTTCCCCCCCCCCTCCCCTCCTTCCCTCCCTCCACCCCCCTCTTCCCTCCACCCTCCCCTCTTTCCCTCCACCCTCCCCCTCCCTTCCCCCCACCCCTCACCCTCCCATCCACCCTCCACCCTCCCCTCTTCCCTCCACCCTCCCCTCTTCCCTCTTTCCCTCCCCCCTCCCACTTCCCTCTCCCCTCCCCCCCCTCTTTCCCTCCACCCCCCCCCCCCCTCTTCCCTCCACCCTCCCCTCTTCCCTCCACCCTCCCCTCTTCCCTCCACCCTCCCCCTCTTCCCTCCACCCTCCCCCTCTTCCCTCCATCCCCATCGCCGGGGGATGGAGGGCCAAGGAGAGATGAGGGAAGGAGGGAGGGAGGGATCAGGGAAGGAGGAGAGGAGGAAGGGGGATAAGATGCATTAAAGAGGTGGCTGCTCCACTAAGAGGTGCCATTGATCTCTCTCTGCCACCCCTCCTTCTCCCCTCGCCGCTTCCCTCCATAACGTTTACGGCACAATTAATGGGCTCGGGACTGCAGAAGAGCAGGCCGTCGCAGGTCACAGCGTCCACGGAGACACACACACACTCTCACTCTCTCTACCTACCTCCCCCAGGCCCATTAAGGGTAATGGAGGGGGTTGCTGTGACGACGAGCGGCGCCGTGGGGCTAATCGAGCATGTCAGCCCGAGCAGGAGGTAACGACCACACTCACGCAGAGTAGAGAGAGAGAGAGAGATAGAGGAGAAATGAGGAGAGCGCGAGAGAGGGAGAGAGAGGAGAAATGGAGAGAGAGGAGGAATGGAGAGAGAGGGAGCTGGAGAAGTAAGGAGGTAGGGGAGAGAGAGAGAGAGAGAGGAGGAATGGAGAGAGAGGGAGCTGGAGAAGGAAGGGGGAGGGGAGAGAGAGAGAGAGAGAGAGAGAGAGAGAGAGGAGAGAGAGAGAGAGAGAGAGAGAGTGTGCCTGTATGCGTATGAGGAAAAGCGAGAAGGATGGAGCATGTGTGTGTGTGCTCTTGTACTCTGGTCTGCATAATAGTTCCCGAGGCGCGCCTGACTGGTGTGTGTGATGGAACAGGCTCTGAGTGGCGGACTAGCTGATTGGGTCTGAAGGAGCAGCGGTGAACATCGCCCCAGCCGTGTGTAATCATTAGTAACCTGCACTGGGCGCACGCTCACACACATACACACACACACACGCACACAGAAGGAGAGTGGGAGAACACAGCTGGTCCATAGTGTGTTACTTACTTGTGAGACAGCTATTCCAAACGTCACTCCAGCAATGATCCCCATGTTAGTCTCAATGAAGTCGGTCACCAGCTCATAACAGCCCTGTAGAAGACAAGACAAGTGAGTGTGTTTGTCAGTGTGTATGGTGTGTGTCTGTCTGTGTGTGTGTGTGTCTGACCTGCTGGTGGACCTTGCTGGGGGCTATGGTGGCATTGCGCAGGTCAGAAGAGTTACAGTCGGAGATGTTGGCACAGCAGCTGGGTGGGATGCCGTTGTTAGGAAACCAGATACTGGATAACCAGCTGGTGTAGTTCAACACACCACAGCATTTCAACTGGAGGGAGAGAGGGGCATGGAGAGAGAGAGAGAGAGAGAGAGAGAGAGAGAAAGAGAGAGAGAGAGAGAGAGAGAGAGAGAGAGAGAGGAGAGAGAGAGAGAGAGAGAGAGAGAGAGAGAGGAGCGAGAGAGAGAGAGAGAGAAAGAAAGAGAAATAGAGAGGGGGGGTGGAGAGAGAGAGAGAGAGATATTTATCACAATTGGTTTTTAATCACAATCCTAATTTGGCTGTCAAAATGACCGTCACTCACACTGCGCTGCACATTGTCCACAGCCAGGCTCCTCTCGTCCTGGGAATTGTAGTTCTTCACCGCCTCACTGAAGGTCCTCTGGAAGGTTCCCTTTATCTGGGAATACACAAACACACACACACACAAACACACACAGAGAAGGATTGTTTTTTTTATTAGTTCTTGTTGTGTTCATTGCCTCTCCTGTTGTGAAACAGATGGACACTCTGACTGATGAATTCTGCCCACTGGGCACACACTGGTTGAATCAACATTGTTTCCACGTCATTTCAACAAAATAGACGTTGAATTGACATCTGTGCCCAGTGGGTGGGTACTCATGATCCTGTGGGTGAGTGCCAGAGGCAGGTATGGCAGGGCCACCTACCTCATGACGAAAGACAAAGCCGGAGATGCCAGCCACGAGCTCTGCCAGGAAGACCAGGGACAGGAACATGGCATACTGCAGAGAGAGGGCACACAGGGCGCCACAAAACGGCCACTGAGTTACTGTGTATATTATGCAGGTTTTCTCACCTTTTGCTCACAATAAGCTCCTTGAAATACTGCAAGGAACATTGAATGACAATAGGAAAGGAATACATTTTTAGAAGGAAAGAAATCAAGAAAGATACAAACCCACTGGGCACACACTGGTTGAATCAACGTTGTTTCCACATCATTTCAATTACTTTACGTTGAACCAACGTGGAATAGATGTTGAATTGACGTCTGTGCCCAGTGGGAAGAAACAGAAAAAATAGAGTTACTCAGATGGCAACTTAGCTCTCACCAGCTTGAGCATCCATGGGCTCCCGCGACACGTAGCGAAGCATCCAAACAGTCCGAACACGATGATGCATGTTCCGGTGCCGATGAGAACGTAAGGAGCGTTGGTGGAGCTGTCAGCGATGATAGATATGTACGCACCCAGCATGAACTTCCCCCATAGTCCTACAGCTAGGAGGATCGCACCCGTGATCTGGACAGAGAGAGAGAGAGAGAGAGAGAGAGGGGAGAGAGAGAGAGAGAGAGAGAGAGAGAGAGGAGAGAGCGAGAGAGGGGAGAGAGAGGGGAGAGAGAGGGGGGGGGGAGAGAAAGAGAGAGAGAGAGAGAGAGAGAGAGAGAGAGAGAGAGAAGGACAAAGACACCATTAGAGCCCTGTCACTAAAACGTCATCAAGGGGATCACTGGAGGTTTCAGACCCATAGAGATGATAGATGGCATGACTGTAACACAACCATCACATCTTCATGACACCTTACATATGATATCAAATGTCAGTGGTCTGTTTAAGCAGTCGTCCATAAAACCAGTGAATTCATCTGTGTAATAAACCATTGATTGCAATGCAAGGACCACCCATACACAAAAAGGTATGCACGCACGCATGACTGTAAGTCGCTTTGGATAAAAGCATCTGCTAAATGGCATATTATTATTATTATAAATGATACACTGCTGAACTACTATGACGCTGTTAGTGGTATTGAAGATAGCTCTTTGCTGCCACCCAATGAAAGAAACTGAATCCTCACTGCATGGCTCATGAGGCGGAAGAGAAAGTGAGACATTTCATAGGCTCCTTTTTTTCTGGTTCAAATGAACTGAGACTTACTAAGTAGACCAGACCCAGCTGCTATCAAAATACAGAAATAATCCCCGTATGCTGCATTTAGCATCATATGTTGCAAAATGCATCATACGGGATGATTTCTGTATTTTGATATTTACATATCTTGAAAACTTGATTGCTAACAAGCAAAACATTTTGGGACTATGTCAACAATGGACTAATGAAACAAATACCAAAATATAGTTTTGGGTGGAATTTTCCATAAGTAAATGGGAACTGTGACAATTTGTTTTCAATGGTAAACAGCCTTTATGGGATATCTTGATTTTTCCACCATATTTGGCCCTACTCATGTAGGATGACTCGTTTCCGGACCATGTCAACTGACCAGGAAAAACTCATGAAGGGAAACACAATTTTCACGCCATTTTAAAAAACTTTTTCGTAGCAGGGTAGGATAACTTACGCCGCAGGTTAGGATAATTAACATAGCAGGTTAGGATAATTAACGTAGCAGGTTAGGAGACTGAGGTTAAGGTTAGGAAATGGGTTAGGGTTAGGTTTAGCGAAAATGCTCTCCTAACCTGCTATAAAAATCACTTTGTGTCGAAGTGGCGTGAAAAGAGTGACAGAGTGAATGCAGGCCTTCCAAAAGCCCACCCCACACCAGCATGCATTAGTCGCTGTTGACTGAACGCTTCACTCTCTCTATGCTGGGGTTATGTAACCTCGCAAGAAAAGGAGAGTCAGACATTCCATTTTTGTACCACCATTTCGTCAATGCATCATACAAAACCATGTCCCCGTTCTTTCATGTTGTTGTTGTTGTTGTTGTTGTGTGTGTTTCTACTAGTGCTTATTATGTGCACCCAATGACGTATACAAACCCTGGATTGCTGATGCTATGTATTGGCCATTGAGAGGCTTTGAAGCCATCTGTCGGCCATATTGGCACTCCCCAGTAGGAGCAGTCCTCCATAGGAATACATGGAATGCTACAGTATTTAAATGAAATGTTTCAAGGACAAAATTACATGTATTTAAGTATTTTAGTTGTTGTAGTGGGGACAGTAACATTAGTCATCCCCAAAAAATATATACTTTAAGGAAAATGTTTCCATATATTGTTTATTTTTTTATTCTTATGTTTAGCTCACATAATATAATTTAAAAGTATGCATTAAGGTGTCTGTAATAGAATAAACGTGGCAAAAACAAATGTAGACATTAATACATGCATTTCTATAGCTTCCAAAATATGTTTTACAACGGTGAGGGAGTGCCAAGATGGAGGCACAATGGCTTCAAAACAGTGCCCCCTATCAGTCATCTAGTGTATGTATAAATCATTGTGCGCACCACACTATTCTGTGTATAGACCTCTAGTAGTGTCTTCCTGAACCAGCAGATGGTGCTGTGGTTATTGGTAAAGACTGGCATCATTGGAATAGAGCAGTGGCATGTCTACCTGTCCAGAGGAGAAAGATGCCATTCCCTTTGATGAGGAAAAAAATCTTCATAAATCATCACAAAAACTGTTCTGAACCGTGTGGGATTGTGGGTCTAGGAAGGTAGGCTACTACTGGTACTATCTAACCTCAAGTCTCAACATCAATGTTGTAAATGATCTAATTATACACATCCACAAAGACATGACAGATATGAATACACAAAAACATGACAGATATGAATCTCCTCCCCCATATCATTCAATTAAAGTGGAGTGAAAAGTGTGTTAATGTATTCACTTTGGGGATTTGGGGGGCTTGTTCAAAGCAGGGGTTCCACTCAAGGACTGGGGTTCTCCATTGGGTTCCTCTCTATATCTCTTCCTGATTATTAATATATGAATATTTCACTCATTAATTAACAGCATCTGTGGGGTAGGGAAGATCAGGAATCAGGATTACATCTCAAATGACAATAACTGGAGTTCCTTTCTTTGTCAAATCTGAAGTTAGCAGGGTTGGGTCAAGGTTTCCTTGATAATTAAGGCTGGCTATTTGTCCCTTACTAGCATAGCAATGACATCACTGAAGTAACTATCATGCCCCGCCCCCGCCCCCAACCATAACTAAATATGTTTATCTTATCTTACCTTATAGCTTCTCTGGTAGAAGCTCACGCCTTCCTTACACAAGCCAGAAGGCATTGGCTCAGCTGCTGTGAGATGTGAACACAGTTTCATAAGACTCTCAGCCCACCGGTGCTCTGCCATTAATATCAGCCTGTTCAATATGTGTCTAACCCACACAGAACAGCAGCAGAGGAAGACTTTATCAGACAGATCTATATCAAAGATGGTGGATAAATGAAGATGTCCCACTCAGGCCATTTACCTAGACCGGCGTCTCATGGCAATGCTAATGACTGTGTGAAACAGATACCAGAGGTGCATGCTGCTGAGGCACATAAAATAACTGCTAACTGCATCACCACAGTTTGAGACCAGGAAGGAGTGCATGGTAGTAGTGGCACAGCTAAGAAATTCCTCTATCGTTGCTATGCCTCATGGTTAGCATGCCAACGAACACGGCAGAGAGGAAGCACATGGGAAAAGGATACCTAACTACTGATACAGGGTCAGATATTTTGTCATTCCCCTGATGGTTAAGGTTAGGATTGGGATTAGGGTGATCTGATCCTAGATCTGTGGTAAAGGGCAACTTCTACCTCAAGCAGTGGCACCCTGTTCCCTACATTGTGCACTTCCCATAGGGCTCTGGTCAAAAATAGTGCACTATATAGGGAATAGGGTGCCATTGGGACGCTACAAGCATCACCTCCCTGTAGCCACCATGCGTTGGGAAATGTTGTTGTGATTCTGAGCATGTCTGGCGCCGGCCGTGCGTCAGAGGCCTCCCTCTCGGCCTCCCTCCCTCCCTCCCTCCCTCCCTCCCTGCCTGCCTGCCTGCCTGCCTGCCTGCCTGCCTCCCTCCCTCCCTCCCTCCCTCCCTCCCTCCCTCCCTCCGAGAGAGGGAGAGAGAGAGAGAGAGAGATAGAGAGAGAGAGAGAGAGAGAGAGAGAGAGAGAGAGAGAGAGAGAGAGAGAGAGAGAGAGAGAGAGAGAGAAAGGGAGGGACGAGAGAGTGTATGTAGTGAGACAGTAAGAGAGATAGAATAATTTAAGAGAGAGAGAGAGAGATGAGTCACTGTCCAACGTGTAGCACGACACCTAGACAGCGCTGTAGGACACATCTGAGAGATAGCACATGAATGAGTTCTGTCCCCATCTCATCCCTATCCTCTGTCCCTTCTCTAGTAATGTCTGGGAGCAGTGTTCATGTTTTATTTAACGCAACGCTATCAATGATTCATGGAACCATCTGCTATAGCGAGCGAGGGGCTTCCCTCCCCTACATGCTCCATCAGCAGGGGGTACCGTCCTAGGCAAGAGGGGTTTAGGGGAGAGGGTGTGTGTGTGTGTGTGTGTGTGTGTGTGTGTTTGTGTGTGTGTGTGTGTATGTGTGTGTATGTGAGTTTGTGTGCGTGCGTGTGTGTGTGAGGGGACTGATGAAAAGAGCCACGGCTCAAATGAACTTCCTCACACAAACAGCAGAGCAGAGGCCCTGTGGGATGTGTTGTAGTCGGCAGCCATATTGTCCTCAGTTAACTCAGCTGGGCTTTGTGTTTATGTGTACTGAATGTTATCTCAGCTGTGACGTTACACCACAGTCATGAGACATGGTTATGGGTTTCAACCCTATATAGCCAATTACACTGCATGTGTTTCTGTTGCAGTAAAAATGAATTCAACATCTGAAACACAAATGCATACACAATCCTAGATGACCAAATCCCTTTACACTGTTATGTACTGTATGTAGATTTTGAGTGAACTAGGACTTTCAGAGTAGGAATAGGGAAGTCAGCCATTTTACCTATAAATACTGAAGTTGCCAGTCTGTTAAAGTGAACCACTTTTATCAGAGTCCGTCAGGGATGGCGCACAGGAGCTAGTTGCATTTCAACACCAGATTGGAGTCTTCACACAGCCTGACAGAGGTAATGGAATTCGTCAGATATGTAGAGGTGTCAGAATCCTGTCCTAGACCTGAGGTATTGCGCCGACAGCACCAACTGGTCAACCTGTTTAGATTGTCTTACTTAATACTCTCTTCAAGTTCTCTCCTGACTTTCCTCAAAAGAGTGGCTCAGTGATATCAAGAACAATCAACAGAAAAACACTAACAGAAAGAGATTTGTCGCAAAACAAAAATGAATAATTGATTAGATTTAGAGAGCTTTTCCAGATGCTCAGACTAGACGCTTCACATTGTGAAAGAGGAAACCCACCTCATCCACGACCACTGGGCAGGGACTGTGATTGGAGGTTCCTCTATGTATAAATGAGAGGGCTGGGGCCGAGGCCTGACTAATGGTCAGACCATCTGCCCTGGCAGGTGCACTGGCGCTGATGCAAACATGAGACGACATCACACCTTTATGCCACTTTGAGCTGCAGGAAGAGCCTTTGAGATAGAGCTTTAGCTTCGTTAGAAATACAGTAAGGGGAACATGATGAAGAGAGACACACACGCAAGACATTTAGGTAGGAGACCCCTTGGATCATTATTATTCTGTATCTGAAAGCAAAGCAAGGCATGTGTGTTTGATTTGGTGTTGCATCACCAGGGATTGCTGCGCTGCTCTGCTCTGCTCTGTTCTGTTCTGCTTTGTTCTGCTCTGTTCTGCGCTGCTCTGCTCTGCTATGTTCTGCTCTATCCTGTTCTACTCTGTTCTGCTTTGTTCGGTTCTGCTCTGTTCTGCTCTGCTCTGTTCTGCTTTGTTCGGTCTGCTCTGTTCTGCTCTGTTTTGTTCTGCTCTGTTCTGCTCTGTTCAGTTCTGCTCTGTTCTGCTCTGTTCTTTTCTGTTCTGCTCTGTTCTGCACTGTTCTGCTCTGCTTTGTTCTGCTCTGCTCTGTTCGGTTCTGCTCTGTTTGGCTCTGTTCCCTTAGATCCTGATGCTCCTGGAGCAGGGAAGCAGGGGGAGCCACGCCCCTATGTTCCCTATAGGATTCCAGCCACTCACAGCAGGACTACAGTCACACTCCATCCTCCCCTGGGAGCCAGCTAAACAACACTGAGCCACTTCCTGACAGATTAAACACAGCACATGAATGATGCCTGGAGAAAACCAACAACAACAACAGCACAGACACCTTTTTAACAAGCCGCTCATCTGGCTCACATTGTCTCCATCCAGCTTTTCCCTTTAAAAACAACACGGCTACAGTCAAACCAGACAGACAATAGAAGCTTTGGGAGATACAGGGACTCAGTGTGTCCCCAGAACAGAACAGTCACTCGCTGGATGGCAGAGCAGGAGAATTGGGAGGAAGGATGATGTAGAAATGAAAAGAGCACTTTAGATTTCAAAGGGGAAGCGCTCCCCTCCTTCTCCCCTCAGCAGAGACATGATCAAAGGCACTGTTGTTCTATGTGCGCTCAAAGCCAGGCTCTTATAGTCGAATCTCATTCAAATAAATTGTTTTTTGGGTTTATTTGTTTACTTTAGGATGGGGGGTTGACTAGAATCAGCCCCCTGAGTGAAAACTAAACTCCAATCTGAATTCTGTTACAGTGATCTTGACATCTGACTGTGTTTTATTGAAACTCCAATGTGGTGTTCAAGAAATGTCATGTTGCATAACTGACAGCCCACATGAAGAAATACTTAATGTAGAATTCTGTAGTAAACTGTAGTATACTGTAGAATACTATAGTTAATACTACAGTATTATCTGAAAAAAAACACAATGTCCGCTAAAACACTACAGTCCACAAAAACATGACAGTTTTTTAACTATAGTAACACTACAGTATTTAATTTGCATTTAACCTGCCCATTCCCCTCCCCCATATCCCAATTTGTGCCGGCCACAATTGAGAAACCTACAGTACCAGTCAAAAGTTTTGACACACCTATTCATTTAAGGGTTTTTCTTTATTTTTACTATTTTCTACATTGTAGAATAATAGTGAAGACATCAAAACTGTGAAATAACACATATGGAATCATGTAGTAACCAAAAAAGTGTTAAACAAATCAAAATATATTTTGTAGCCACCCTTTGCATTGATGACAGCTTTGCACACTTTTGGCACTTTTCTGGTTACTACATGATTCCATATGTGTTATTTCATAGTTTTGATGTCTTCACTATTCTTCTACAATGTAGAAAATAGTAAAAATAAAGAAAAACCCTGGAATGAGTAGGTGTGTCCAAACTTTTGACTGGCACTGTAAATACCAAGTACAGTATATTGGATATATTATGTTCTAGAAAAGAGAAAGGCTCTCAACTATCCGTTCAGACCCCAGTCCTATCTACCTACAGGTTATGGAAAATGAGCTCTTTTAGTATTTGTCCAGTAGGTTTCCTCAAGGAGAAAGCCCCCTTCTTCTATGTCAAAAATAATAAAACAAAAACACTATAGTAAATACCACAGTAATGTCCGCAAAACACTATAGTAAATACTACATTAAGGTCCGCAAAAACACTACAGTAAATACTACAATAATGTCCGCAAAAACACTACAGTAAATACTACAGTAATGTCCGCAAAAACACTTTAGTAAATACTATAGTAATATCCGCAAAAACACTACAGTAATGTCTGCGTGTGTGACAGCATGGATGGTAGTCCATCAGTATCACAATGATTGCTTTGTTGCGGGCCATTAAATTCACTTAGTCTGTGTAGTGAGTGATCAATAACATTCACCTCTGAAATACAAACATTCTACTCCAAAGGGCTCTGATGTTTCTAGAATGAATCTGTTCTTCTAATGTAACCAACTGGAACTACAACAATGATAGAACTCCAAGTTGACTTTGTAATACATATTGATGGGGGTCAATGACAGTATGTTCTACATCATTGGAGGTAACAAACACAGACAAAGAAGACAGTGACATGACAGGAAGTCTTGTGCTCATCAAGGTGGATAATGACATCCTAAAATGGTCCTTAAAGCGACAGCCATATTGTACATCCTTGGCTGAGCACACCACAGGCCTCCTTCTCTGCACTACTCTTCAAACCCAGAGGGATTGACTGTGCTTCCCAAGTGGAAAAGGAAGATGGGAATGATTGCCTTTATACTGTACATTAGGGTTGACTACTCTGAGCTATACAGTAGTAGCTGA